GACTAATCTGGTCCAATAGAAAGGTGTTATATACTTACCATTTAAGAAAATGTAACAGAAAACATTAAAAACATTTGTGGACAATGAGTACAAAAAAACTTAAGAATAAAACTGTCTCCATGGCAACACATCGTCACCGTCATCAGCTGTGAGGTCACTTCCTGTGATGAAATATTTTAACAAGATGAGGTTCACAAACACAGCTGAAATATTTTTATCCATGAGGTTGTAGAAACAGTGATCCTGCAGCAGAAACTGTTCAGTGTTTAGAGTTTATGTTGGAGAAGAAAATTTGATGGATGGCTGGATGTACAGTTGGGTGATGGTTGAATAATGGTTGGATGTATGTCTGGATGATTTTTGGATGATTGTTGGATGATGGCTGGATGATGGTTGGATGATGGTTGGATGATGGATTATCACTTAATCCTCGTTTTGAACAGATGGGTCACATTTGATTGACAGGATTTGTTTGATTGACATGAACCTGTTGTTTCCTTAACCTGCTGCCTCCCCAGGTGGACAACTCTCTGTACAACTCAGCGTACCTGTCTCCGCCTCCTGACGCTAGCTGGAGAAGGTAGTGTGTTAGCCCCTCCCCCTTCGTACCTGTCTCCATGGAGATGTCTCTGTCCACTGGGACGCCTGTTTGTTCACCTCTTTAACGCTGCCTCTGCTCTGAGCCTGAGCTTAAAGACAACACAGCTGTCAGTCAGAGCTCACCTGGACAGGTGTGGTGTTCTCACAGTGAACAGGTCTGTCACAACATCGACCCGAGGCCAGAGAAAAACCAGAACCGTTCCTGTACTGTGAGACAGAACGGTTCTGGTTCAGGTCTGAAGGGTCACAGGTCTGCTCAGGTGAATCTTGGCTTGCTGCCTCCTCCTCTTCCTCCTTCAGCTTTGCTCCTGCTCAGCTCTTCCTCCTCTTCCTCACATTCTTCTGCTCCATGTGAGTGTCTCCTTGGAGGAAAGTAACTTTGTCTTCTTGTTGATTATAAAAAGGAACTGGTCTGGAAACTTCCCCGGAGATAAAAGCCAGTTGTTTCGTCTCCCCACCACCGCGCTAAACAGGTGAATCCTCCTCATCCTCCTCTTCCTCCTCTTCCTCCTCTTCTGCCATTTAAACCCCAGTTCTGAGAAAGTTTGGATTCTGTGGAGGGAGAAAAGTTCTGATATCAGAGACGTGTGTAAAAAGTTGTTCCAGGAGCAGTAGAAGATCTGAATCTGAAACATCTGGAGGAATCATTTCTGATTAATGAGGTTCATGATCAACAGGTGAGTCAGAGGACTGGAGACCCACCGGTCTGCTCAGACCCACCAGTCTGTTCAGGTTCACTAATCTGCTCAGGTTCACTAATCTGCTCAGGTTCACCAGTCTGCTCAGGTTCACTAATCTGCTCAGGTTCACTAATCTGCTCAGGTTCACTAATCTGCTCAGGTTCACTAGTCTGCTCAGGTTCACCAGTCTGTTCAGGTTCACCAGTCTG